TCATACTCAGACTTAATGAATTAAACTGAACCTGGAAATTTTACACAACAACATAAAGTATGCCAAAGCCAACTTATAAAAATTCCAGCCTTAACCGATAACTGGTACTATTTTTAAAAATCCAAACGAGCAACAGCAATTTATCTAATTTAAATCCAAACTGAAACCAAACGGACTCTAAAAATTCTCCAATTTTACAAACATGATCAAACACCTAAAATATGACTCTCAGTAAAATTTCAGAATTTTCCATGCAAGAACCGATTTTTAAAAATTCAAACAACAATTCTGCAGATTCAATTAATAAAATATTACCCATATCAAATCAACTCCAAAAATTTTAAAAATTTTACACAACACATATAAGTCACCGAGGCATGACATATCCAAATTTCAGCTCATTTCAGTCACGCATGAATTACTTATGCATTTAATACCAATCGGCTCATATTCACAATTTAATTAAAATAAATACCTACAAGTCTCTAAAAATTATGAAAATTTTACACAAGACATATAATTAACAGATAACATACTCCTCAAAATTTCACATCGTTTCGAGCAGCGAGCTGTTTTTAAAATTTCGAACATCAAAACAGCGATTAATAAGCTCGACAACTCGACTATTAAATCACAACACGCAATTAATCGTCCGAGGCCTTTTCATAAAACCAAGGACTCGACATTGTTCCAGTATCCACCGACTTACACGAGTTTCGAGGTCTCGTTCAATTTTCGAGAAAATCGAAGAGATCCCGAACATACGTTAACACATAAAATCATAACAATCACATAAAATCATAACGAACAATCTAACGCACATTATTTACGTCACGTAAATCACACATATTCACAAATAACATAAACGATATAAACGAGACGGGATCGAGCCTTTGTACCGTTCTCGAGAATCAAACGAAAACGGACGAACGTAAAATTGTCGGGCTCGACGGAGAACTCGCGTCTTGCCGAAAAAGAAGGCTCGACGTGCACGGAAAGGAGGAAGAAGCTTGCTGCTGGTTCACAGCTCGCCGGAAACGGAAAGGAGGGTCACCGGACACTGCTCGAAGAGACATTTAGCTCGCCGGAAAATCTTCACGAAGCGGCAGTGCACGTTGAAGACTCAGAGCTCGCCGATGATTCATGGTCGCCGGAAAAAGGACTTGCCACAGATTTACACGAACAGGGCCGACGGAGATTGGTCGAAGTCGCCAGAAAATCTCATGAACATAGGTACTGTGACGGCGACGCGGCGTGGCTGATCTTCCTTCACGGCGTGGGGAGGTCGCGCGGCGTGGCAAAGCTTCAGTCACGGCGTGGCGAGAAGAGCTCCGCATCATGGTTCACCGGGAAGGGAGGAGAAGGTCGTCGGAGTTCCTTCACGTCGCCGGAGTTGACTCGCCGGAAGTTGCAGAGGAAGAAGGCTCGCAGTCGGGCTTGCTGTGGGTCGTCGGCGGAGAAGAGGTTTCGCCGGAGTTGCTGCGCGAGATGCTGTCGCCGGAGGTTGGGCTGCTTGCTCGTCAATTGCCTGAGCTTCTGAGATCGCGGCGACGAGGTGGTTCTCCGACGAAGAAGATGATGGCAGAGAGGAGATGGCGATGATGATGATGCTAAGGATGAGAATGATGATGGAGAAGAGATGGCGAGAAGAGACTAGAAAGATGAAGATGATGATGGTGATTTATCAAAAACAAAACATTTGCTGTAGAGATTCCCACATCAATAATCACTCAATTATTGAAGATGCTCAAATGAGGAATATAGATACGTGAGCTGTTTCTATATGTATGATAACACATTTGTTGACTTTGCCCATTTCCATGAAGTTTCATAACACATACACACACGAAATAAAGAAACATGGTCTTGAGCTGTTTAAGTTCGGCCCGGTTTGGACACACAGTAATACTCGGGCTCGATTTCGTTCCAAACGGACATTCTCGGGATCAATTTCGGTTCCAACAAAAATTTTCGGTTTCGATTACGATTCACACGAACACTTCTCGGGCTCGATAAAATTGTATGCTAATATATATTCAGCTCTCGGGCCTGATAACGAATTCAAACGCACGAAAATAAATCTAACTCTCGGACTCGGTTCTCCAATCACTAATTTTCACAGTTCCAATCGATCGCACGATAAAAATAAATCGAACTATAAATATATTTCACATATATTAATACACATTTTTCTCATTTAATAATTAATCACGAAAATCAATTAGACAATTTGATAATTAGCATTTAATCACATTTAGAGATTTAATAATATTATGGCATTCAAGAGAAAATAAATATAAATATTATCACAATAATAATAATAATAATAATAATAATAATAATAATAATAATAATAATATTCTCAAATAATCCACAAATAAATGGGACATTACATTATTGGTTGAGAGTCCACTCACGCACAAAACATAACATTGGGGAGGAATTATTTTTTATTGGCGTGGGGACAGAAGAAAAAAACAGAAGAGAATTGGCCAGAAGAAAAGCGCACGAACTGGAAAGAGCATATCACATGCGGAGGGAAGCCGCACTCGCACAAGGGAGATATTTTATTCTCTCTTTTATTTATTTATATTTATTTTTATTAGTATGTTAGGCTAGTATTTTTATCCAGTTTGAGGGAATGTTTGAACCCTAATTCCGATTTGTCTATGAATTGGATGATCTTTATTTATCGTTAATTAATCGAGACTCCGTATTTATTTTTGTTGATGAGTTGATTCATGCTATCTGTGTCGAATGTTTATAAATTATGAGTTTTTGATTTAGTTTGGCCAGCTAGGTTGAATATTCATAGTTTAATTGCTAGATTCGAGACTTTAATCCGTAATTGTTATTGTCTCGTTTCGTTAGTAGTAAACTAGGGGTCGTGCATCTCTAGGGTAGCGTGAACATAAGTTAAATGGTCCGAGCTTTTGCGTCCGTTGCTTAGACTGATCTATTTTTCTAGAGATTAATGCTGCTAGTGAATTAAATCTAGAGAGCTTATTCTAGGTTGTCCACTAGTTAGGTTTAGTCGAAGAGCTTATTTCGATTAAATATTCGGTAAGGGAAAATTCGGTTAACAGAGCTTGTTGTTAGCTAGGGTTGGTAATTCGTCGGCAATTTAGAGAAGGCGTCGAAATTAATTAACGGTAGATTTAGATTGAGTGATAACTGAACCGAAAACTGGACTTCTCTTATTTTATTAGATTTTTATTTTACTTTCTTATTTTTATTTTTATTTTTATAAAACCAATCCCCCCCATCTTTTATTGCTTTCCTAGTTTAATTCAATTAATACGAGATTGTCACAATTTAATTCCTACTCCTCGTGGGATCGACCCTTACTCACCGCTACTACTAGTTAGTAGAGGTTAGTTGAGGAAAATTATAAATTTAAATTTGCCGTGTCGCGACGCGCGGTCAGTTACTATCGGAGAAGAAGGGGTAACCTGTCGTAAAAATAGGCATCATTTATTAAATTGATACAAACAACAATAAATAGAGTATAGAACCAGTTTTGTTACGAAGCCAACAGTTGACTCCATAGTGAACCAACCTTCTATATATACAACAAGTAAACCATACCATATTAATAACCTTCTATATAAGCGGGTTGTTAATATGGTATGATTTACTTGTTATATATAGAAGATTGTTATGGAGCCAACTGTTGGCTTCATAGCAAAATTGGTTCTACTAGTAGATTAGTTTAATTTACCATATTACAATCATTTCACATTTAAAAAAACATACAAAAATCTGAAATTAAATAGAATAAATATGCATTTTGTTTAAATAATAATAATAATAATAATAGGTCAATCTACCTTACAAATATTGTAGTCTCTCGATCCCCAATTTCTCTCCCCAGAAACCCTCGCCGCTGCTCGTCTAAAATCCGTCAATTATGCGCCTTCCCCGGTGATTAGCCGGCCTTTCGTCGGCGGATGGCCTTCAGCTGCGTCTTCCCGCCCCAATTTCTCGCTCGCCAGTGCTGCTGCGCCGATGGAGTTTTTCCCAAGCCGTCGGCAGGTCTCGCCATTTCCTTCCTGCGGGTCATAGTTCCGTTTTCTGGTTTCCCCTGTAGTGCCTATGGTGGTTGGCCGTCGGTTGGCTTCTGCTCTGCTCGGTCTCCGGTGGGAACTTGTGCGCTGCGCTCCAGGTTAGTGGTGGGTTGCTTCAAGGAGGTGAGTGGTTGTGGTTGGGGTTGGGTGCGACCTTGGTGGCTCGGCTTGTATGAGTCGCGTCGGCCGGGGTTGAGGTGTGTTGGTTCGTTCCCCTGTGTCCACTTTGCTGGTTTTGTGGAGTTGGATGCCCGACAGGCCCGGATTCTGACCAATGGTGTTTGGTCGAGTCGCGGGAAGCGGGTCTGTGTGGTAGGGCTGATCGATCCTCCTCGGGTTGTGGGTCGGCTTCATCCGTGGAGTGGTTCGAGGCTTGGGACTCTTCCTTGCTAGGCAAGGCAGTGGCGGGAGTGGTGTTCCGGCTTTCGTGTCAAGCTATAGGGTGATTGGTCTTAATTTCGCTGGTGCCTTGTGCGATGATCGGTTATCTCGTTGGGGAAGGACTTTGTGTGCCTTCATTTTAGGTTTTTTATTTTTTATTTTGGTTGTTCTTTGTGTTCTTGTCTTGTGTTTAGGTCTGATTTTTGTTTGGGCCATTTGGTCTCTGTGCGCCCGGATGTCAAATTTATTATCCCATTGGTATCCGACACCCGGGTATTACTCTGTTGGAGTCTTGTTTAGTTTTGTTTGTGTAGTTGGTTTAGTGTGGTTGTGTTTTTTGTGTGTTTCTCGAGTATTACCCTGTTGGGGTCGGCTNATCTACCTTACAAGGTCATCCCATTAGTTACAGTCTAATTAAATAGTCACACTAGTTCATTAATTAATACCAAGTCTCATTACATTGTCTAATTAAGTTTAATTATATATATGTATACCCCAGCTTGAGAGAGGTATCAGAGAGATTCTTGCTATTATGCACTAATCCATGAGAATTCACCATGGACTCGGCTGAGCTTCCTTGATCGTTGCCAATATTTCTCGTGCATTCGAAATCTTGGGCCTACATATCTTCATATTTTCATTCACGAGCTCAAATGTGCGACAAAATTTTACATTCTTGATCACTTAGTGTATTTAAATTAAAATTAGAAAGACCGTGAAATTTAAAAATATGGATTACCTCAGCTTGTTGTTTCAACCTTGCATTTTCATCAAGTAGTTCTGCTTCCTGCATTTATTTTTCTTTTTTTAGAAAAAAACAAGTAAATATTATGATGCACATATTCATGTGAAATAAAAAAGATTTATAAGGTAGGTTTTAGAACTTGCCCTTGTCTTCAGCTTGCTGATCTCATTCAAAACCTTGTCATTCTGTAATAACTCGTGGCAACATAGAACTAAATTATCAGGTTCAATTTCTATATATTTTTTAAAGAAGCAGCAAAATAACACGAGGAAAAAAAAAATCGGAACTAATTACCTTAGTTTTCCCAACACGGCTTAATCCAATCTCAACCAATTTTTCTAGCTTCACCAAATCATGGAAGCCGAGTTCTTGAAGCTCTTCTCCCATGAGTTGCCTGTAATTGAAATATGATTTTCCTTTTTCTTATGCTATTGATCAAATGTATGCGTAATAGAGAACATATATACATTTTGCAGAAAAAAAACTAATAAATATACAATAAAGTGATATATACTTCAGCTCGAGAGTTAGGCCTGCAAGTTGCCTGCTAGCTGTCTCATGGTGATCTCTTTCGGTCTA